CAGCCTTCTCTTCTTCAGGCTAAACATGCCCAGCTCCTTAAGCCGCTCCTCATAGGGCTTGTTCTCCAGAAGAGCTCTTTGTCCCACCCTGGTCTTTCCACAGATATATAAACCCATTTTCCTAGTTCCAACAGACCTCACAACCTCTGAGGATGCTTGCCAGAGATGCAGGCGAAACGTCAGGAGAAAATGCCTCTAGAACATGGCCATATAGCCCGAAAAAACCCACAAGAACCTATTGATTCCAGGCATGAAAGCCTTCGACAATACAATAACCATTCTAGTTTCTCCTTTGTTGTCAATGTTATTTTTTCACCTGCTGGAAAGATGCATAATGTTTTCCTTCAACAAAAATGTTTTATACTTGCTGGAAATATATATATGTTTTTCCCTAATCCAAAAAGAAAACCCCTCAATGCAGGGGGGCCGCCAGGGAAATGCAGGCGTGGATGCCTTGACCCACAGGCGTGGGGAGGCCGCCCTCCTTGCTCTCCTCCCAGCCATGAGATTGCTTTTGCTGCAAGATGATCCCGGTCTCCCTTCCATGTTTTACTGCCATTGTTCTGGACGGTTCTTCCCTGGGGAAAGGCTGCCTTTTCCTCTCATTATCTCCGGGTTCGTTGTCGTCGGCCTCCTTGGCAGTTTCCTCCTTTGCCTTCTGAACGGATCTGGCACCCCTCTGGTGGCTTCCTCTTAGGGCAGGCATGGGCAAGCTTGGGCCTTCCTCCAGGTGTTTTGGACTTCAACTCCCACAATTCCTAACAGCCAGTCCCTTACTTAGGTGATCCCTCGTAGTCCTCCAAGTGTAGTATCCTGGCGGCATGTTCAGTTTGCAGACAGAAGGCAGTCCCGGTCGGGGCTTGCTTGCACGCCTTCCTCTTGGCACATTTCTCTCTTTCGCCTTCAATTCGTGCATCTTCAAATTCTGCAGCACTGGTGGTTGCAGCTGACCTCCAGCTGGAGCGCTCAAGGGCCAGGGCTTCCCAGTTCTCAGTGTCTATGCCAGAGT